GGACCAGGCCATGGCTCAGGACCTGGCTACCGTCGGGACCAGGCCACGGCTCGGGACCAGGCCATGGCTCAGGACCTGGCTACTGTCAGGACCAGGCCACGGCTCGGGACCAGGCCACGGCTCGGGACCTGGCTACCGTCGGGACCAGGTCACGGTTTAGGACCAGGCTACCGCTCAGGATGAGGCGGTCTTATAGTGTGGCTCAGAGCCAAAACCAAGTGTCCCCAAATAAGAAATGTCACTCTCCCAGCTGCAAGGACAACTCCATGCAGGTGGAATCCTTTTACCACTTGATGCTCACCCCTGACCTGGCAGGTCCCCATTAGATGGTCACCCCTGACCAGGCAGGTCCCCATTAGATGGTCACCCTTGACCAGGCAGGTCCCCATTAGATGGTCACCCCTGACCTGGCATGTGCCCATGTAAAAGCAAACGCAAGTGCTGTTTGTTTTAGGAATTTGTGTGTGCACCCGTACGTGCATATGTGGACTTACCAACTCTGAGTAACAATCCTTGTTCGGATACATTAAGGGGGTTTAGAAAGGAAATGAGAAGTAGGCCTACCGAAATGCGTGGAGTAAGCCTAATAGAAGATCAAACACATCCCAACCGTGAGCTGGCCTGGGGGTTGGCCCACCTCCAGGCGCCCAGGGCTGTTGTTGGCCATGGCGTTTCGGTGGCGGATACTCGCAGGGGCACAGGTAAGAATTAGGAGCAATTCCCAGCTTCCTAGCTGGTGTCCATCCTTCCTCCTTCACCTCGAGCGAGCCCTCAGAATAACCTGGATCTGCTCTAAGTGATGTGCAAACCCCCTCGGTCTCAGTACAGACCGCCGCGCCTCACTGAGGCAGTGCAGCGAGAGCTGCTGCGTGGCGGCTCCTGAGTTCCAACAGAGTGGCTTTGCAAGCCTTTTCCTCTGCAGTTGGGAAATGAAAATTCAAGGCCAAAAAAAGAGTGCACACGGCCGGGAGGCACTGAAAGAGCAAGCCCCGGGGTGTTCGGCAGTACTGCAGCCACCCACCAGGTGGCACCAATGCAGAGACTTGGATGCAGGCTGCCACCTTGACCAGCAAGCAGCTGAGCCCTTTGCCTGCAGCTACCAAGCCCAAAGGGCTCAAGGGTGGCCTTGCCGAGGCCTGGGTGCTCCCTGCCCGTACCTTGGTGCAGACGCCCGTAGTGGCGTCACACAGGGTGAGGATGGACACGTTCTGCGCCCGGCTCAGCCAGTTCACGGCGACCTTGGTGTTGGTGGCCCACTTCACCATGGTGATGTAGTATTCCCTGGAAACACACAGGCACACAGGTGAGCGGCTTGGCCAGAGCCACGGGACCAGAGACGGCTCGTCTGGGCCCTGGACGTCGGGGCCACAGCAGAAGCACGTCCGGGTGGGGGGTTCCCAACTCCGGTGGGAAGGCCCCGCCGCCCTGAGGAAGGCTCTGTGTGCCACTTCCCTCTCCCGTAGTGACGAGATACCCGACACGTCCTCAGGCTAATCTGAGAAACTGGCTCCGGTGCCCGTGAACTTGGCTTGACAGCCTAGAGGTCACAGGCCCGAAAACACCATGGAGCTCTGTGCTGAGGTCGGCAGGAGGGACTGGGGCTGCTGGTGATTAATCCAGTTGCTCAGGGCCCTCCAACACTGGGATTTTGTTTTAGGGGAAAAAGTACATTTAAGAGGAAGAAGAAAATAAATGCACAGGAGAATATTCGCAGGTGAATTCAAAGAACGTTCTGGAGGCCAGCGAACACTCCTCCCATTGCTTGGCCCTGTCCACCCCTAGTGAGGGCAGCCTCTCAGGACGGCCTCTGTGGTCCTATTGACCCTTTGCCACTAGAGACTGCAGGACGTCGCTCGACAGCTCCCAGCTGGAAAGATGCCTCCGTGTACTTTGTAACCACGTCCACGGAAAGGCTGGCGTAGCCCGGGGCTTGCCCTAAGCTCCGCTTACCAGGAGATTCATTGCTGTGCTGACCTCAATCTCCCCGTTTGTTGTCAGGGTTTTAGCCACTTCACCTGAGCCAGGAGCCCGTGGGAAACTGGTCGGTGGAGGGCAGGCCGGGCAACTGCTCGGGGCCGTGTCCTCGACCTTACAGAGAATATGGCGGTGGGTCAGGCAAGGGGAGCCAGCGTTTACGGGTTTCAACCCTCCAGGTTTCCTGCCTCTTTGCAGCACCGTTTTCTGCGTGTGTCTGCCCAGCGCGCCCAGGCCAGTGGGGTCTGGCTGTACTTCCCCGACCTGCTCTCTCCCAGGCCTGTGGCTCCTGCTCCAAAAGGCTGCGCCTCTGTGCCCGCTGCAGGCTCGGAGCCGCGAGTGCAATGGTGGGTTTGAGCAGCTCCTCAATATTTGTGCCATAAACACATGGATGCGCTCAGGCCCTTCAAATCAACTCAAGGCCCAGCCCCTGCTCCAAAGGGAAGACTTTTATTTGAATTACGTCACACATGGTCTGAGTCCCTGCTGGGCAGACGATGAAGAGGCAGGAAGTGGGAGAGCCGTGGGGACGGACACGTGTTCACTCCGCTCGTCAGGCCACGGCCGGAGATGCCGATGTTCACGTGGAGGGTGTGGCGCATGGGACAGCGACCCCTGCACTGGCTCTATCAGAAAATAGTCCACCTGGGTGAAGCCAAGGGAGCAAAAGGCACAGCTACCCCCAACAAGCGCTGCAAGTCTCCGGCTGTCAGGGAGGCGGCGGCGATGACTGCCACCGTGGGGCCCTGGGCTGGGCCGGCTGGGGGCGGGGCATGTTCTCTTGCCCACTCACTGCCCTGCCCTCCTGGGAGCACCAGCCAGCACCAGCCTTGGCTTTCCTGCCTCACAGACACCAATCAACTTAGAATTCAAGCAGGGGGGAACCCGCCTCAGCCCAGCGGAGCAGGAGCCGCGCTGAGGCTCTGCTCAGAGTCCCTCGGAGAAGCGGCCACGCAGCACCCATGGGCGGGGAGAGGAGCGAGGCCTCGCCACCCCGTCTGCGGCCGGATGTCGGGGTGGGCTCTGTCCCCGGGGAGAACACGAGGTCATGCGCACATGCGGGTGGAGGAAACCACGCAGAAAACATGAGAGGAGCGCGTGAGGCTAACCTCCGGGGCGAGCTGAGGGGACGACAAAGAAGTGAAGGGAAAGGCCAGAGAGATGGACTCGGAGAGGCCGAGGGGGATTTGGCAGCTCTGCCCGGCTCAGGGGCAGGACCCCGGGAATGCTCTTCCAGAGCGGCCAGAGTGGGCGACAGGGAGGGGACGTCCAAAGGCAAGGAAGAGACGCTGCGTAGGACGCACCCCTGAGCATGCAGCCCCCACGTCCCAGGCGAATGAGTCAGACAGCAGGCGTGCTCTCCCAGGCCCCGTGCTCCGCGGGCACCGGTAACACGACTGACAAAGGGTAGAGGTCTGGCTGCTCCGCTGTTCCCCGGTTCTGGGCCTGATGGCCTGTGACACCCGGCGTGCTTTAACAACCAATGCAGAGCGCGTCTTCTTGACTAGACCGTCTCTGAGGGCCAGTCACAGGTAAAGGCTCGGAGTCACAGCACAGCATGTGAGACGATACTTTCTAAAGTCCATTCAGCCCCATCTGGTCCCAAACTGCTACCAATTTGGTCACAAAACTTGAATGCAAATGTAAAAAGTCCTTATTAGGTGATAAAATAATATAAAATAAATATTGGGTGAATATTTCATAGAATTAGAAAAATTGAGTAATTTTTTTCAAGGAAGATTAAAAACAAAAACGCAACCGATGAAACAGAAAGACAGGGTTTAAGAGAAAGGACTGCAAACACACTATGTTCCTAGAATAAAAACACTAAACGTGGCCAAGCTTTCAAAATCATGAGCATTTGGGGAAGGACTGACTGGTCACAGTAAGCGCTGAGTGGCAGCAGCTGTACCCGCCTTCCTCACGTTTGTATCTTCAGCACTTTGCACAGCTTGCCCCACGGTGAGTACTTCACATTTGTGAAAGAAAGCCATTTAATTCCAATAGGAAAAGCAAGGAGCTTCTCTTCTAAGAGAGGGTCAGCTAACAAAATAATTCTAAACTTTATATATAAGAAGAAATGAACAAAAATGGCCAAGATAGTCTTTAAAATATTCTAACCCTCACGAGAGGGGTGTATACGAGAAGCTGCTAATACTACAGTTTGGCACTAGACTTTTTACTGATGTAAGAATCAGTAGGTCTACAAGCCGGTGAACAGCCTTAATCACAATGGTTTCCATAGGCACAGACAGTTTATATATATAATTTAATATTTTATAAAAGTGTCAGACCAAACCAGTGGGGAAAGGAAGATTCATACAACCAATGGTGCTGGGAATATGGCTTAATGATAAAACACACACACACACACAAACAAACAAACAAAACCCCCAAAACAACAAAACAAAAAAACAAAACAGACAGGCAAATAAAGAACACATATGCATTTCTAGAAAAAAAAAATCTCAAAAGAAAATTTATCCAAATGCTTAATAGCTCGTGGGGTGGCAAGTGATGATTATTTCTATAAAGTGGAGATTACTTCTTAAATAAGAAGGTCATTAAGGAGAAACTGGAGGTTTCCCACGTAAGTTGGTGGATTTATCATGTTTGTTAATGGCTCCTCTCTGTGGAAACCTAACTGTGATGATAATCCTATATAATAAAGATGTAATATGCAAATGGTTGGTACGCCGTGAAGCATAACGACCGACTGAGTCACGACCAGATCAGCAGGAGGGTGGGGGAGCGAGCTATAAGCGAGAGGCGGAGAGCTACAGGAGGGGGCAGGGCAGCAAGCTATGAAGGGGGGGCAAGCTACAGGAGACAGGGCAGCGGGCAGAGAGCCACAGGAGGGCAGCAGCGAGCTACTGGCGCAGGGATTTGTGCGCAGGGCTACTAGTAAAGGAATAACACAGGTCTGTTCCCTTACTACTCCTCTGCAGACAGAAGAGTAGTAAGAGGCAAGGCTGGTTGAAAAAGTAGCACCCTAAAATCCCTGCACAGTGGGACCCCGAGAAAATTCTGAGGAATTGAGGTCTAGGTACAATATCATGCAGCAGAGAAATGTGGCTGAACAGGGATTTCATCTGAGAGTCTCTGAATGAGACAGATGATAAATGAAACCCATTTGGATGTTATTTCAAAATCAAAAGGGCTTTTGGAACAAGAAAATAGGTGACCCCCAGAGGCAGGTATCAGAGGAACACCAGGCTGGCCATCAGCAACACTGAGCTCCAGGAGCAATGGAACTCTACCTCCAAATTTGAGGGACAACGGTTTTCAAACTACAGGTCTGCATACTGCTAAAATTTTCAACTAATGTGAAGAAAAGACAGTTTTTTGATATTCAAGAATTCGAAAAGTTTGCTTCCAATCGTCCTTTCTTAGGAAAACACCTCGAGGATGTCCTCCGGACAGAAGTGGGGGTAAGTCAGGAAGAAGAGGACACACTGGCTCCCAGGAGGGAGTGCAGCAAGGGAAGGCCAGGATGGCCGCGGTCAGATGGGACAGTGAGTGACCAGTCCAGACTAGAGCAGGGTAGTGGAGGACCCTCGGAGAGGTGGGTCTGGGGGAAAGGGCACTGCAACCAAGCACCTGATAGAGTTTGGAAAATAAAAATGAAAGTCTGATAAAACCAAATAGTCCAAGTAAAAAATAAAAGCACTATAAAACTGGGAAAAACAAAAAGCAGAACATAAAAGAGACACAGTCACAGAATACTAGTCAGCTTTGCCATGCAAGATAATTACTTATAATGAAGTCAATGGTGTTTATTTATGTTAATGTTTTAGAATCAGCCTACAGATAAGTAATGAAGATTTAGTTATGATTACAAGGAAGAATGCAAATGTCATAAATCTCAACGATACAAAATTAAAAAAAAAGGTAACAGAAGTTTCAGGGACAGGGAAGGGACCTGTAGGAAAGGGCAGGACTAATATCTTATAAACTGGGAGGTATGATTTCTTGTTTATCATAATGCAATGTGAAGGAAACTTGTGGCAATCTACACTAATAAAAGAGAAACATGCAAATTGGTGTCACTCCACTACCCTTCCCATTGGCTAATCAGGGCGATATGCAAATTAACTGCCAGCCAAGATGGCGGACGGCAGCCAGGCAGCTTGAAGTGAACATGAGGCTTGCTTGCTTCAGTGACGGAGGACTCCAACATTCCCCGCCTGCCGCTGCCGGCCTCTGAGCTTGCAGTTTGAAACATTGTTACAAATATAGAAGCTAAACAAAACCCCAGAAACCTGCTTTCATCTAGCCGGGATCTCAGAGCTGGAGTTGAAACAGTGTTTCGATTATAGAACCCAAACAAACCAGATACCTGCTTTCAGCAGC